GAGTATCGTGAGACAGGAGGCGACACGAACAGGGGGCAGACTCAGGACCAGACCTAGACGCAGCAGCAAACACCTGACCCGACGCTGCTACCTGACCGGACGCGGGGACAGGAGGAGACTCAGTGGTCAGGGTGTAGAGGCTCGACCCCGGCCGACGCGAGAACGTGGCCAGGTGCCGGCCTGTGCGTGCGTCCGTGCAGTGGGTCACCCGCTGACTCGCAGGAGTGAACTGGTGAACCCCCGCATCCTGTAGGTCTGCACCACTCACCAAGTTCGTCGAGAACGAGGGGAGGTACAGGCCGGACAGGGTGCCCGAGGGGGCAGCCGGACACGGGAGGACAGTGGAAAAGTGAGCGAGGACAGGACCCCCAGAGGGGTCAGCCAGGGAGACTGCAACCGGCCGACCAAGCGGCGTGAGTGTGGTGCGGTCCCGAAAGAAGGAGCGAGAAGCCCCAGAGTCAAGTGTAAAGGTGAGGGAGGCCGAAGGCAACGCGGTACCTGAGAGCGCAGCCTCACCCGCACCTGAGGAAGCAGACTCACTAGCACCTAGAGCAGCAGCCGCACCTGTACCTGGAGCAGGAGACTCACGAGCACCCAGAGCAGCAGCCTCACCAGTAGCTAGAGCAGCAGGTCCTATACCCGGGTCAGGCGGGACGCACAGGTGACCGGCACGGTCAGCACTAGTAGGCAATGCATACATGGCAGTGAGAATAGCATCATAGTCAAGAGCATATATATCGACCCTCTGCCTAAGCAACTCCACCCAGTCGGGAAGCTCAGCCTCGTCGCCAAACACGGTACGCCAGGCGTCGCTCAGACGGGCGAAGCAGCGGGACGGTGTATGACTACGTGTCCCACAAGGCTGACCAGTCCGAGTACCAGTGCGTATCACGTAAGAGCAGCGAACAGCACTGAGAGACCCTCCACTCTGAGCGTACCACTCACGAAGCTGGCGAGGCAAGAGAGACACGCGAGAGGGTCGGGGGAGCTGCATCTGGCCGCCACCACGAGTAGAAGCAGCAGGAGTGGTAGTAGGAGTAGCGCCGCCACCCCTACAGCCCCAACCAGCGTACCACTCACGCAGCTGCTGGGGCGTGAGGGACTCACGCAGGCGTCGCTGGGGCTGCATCTGGCTCCGCAAGTAGAAGCAGGAGCAGGACTAGCAGCAGGAAGGCAGGCAGCCAGGCAAGCCAAAAGGCAGGCAGGCAGGCAAGCAGGCGACGCGCAGCGTGCTAGCAGGGCAAGAGCTCACCAGTGGTGGGAAGAGTAGGCTCGGCGACTCAGCGGCTCGGCAGCTCGGCGGCTCGGCGGCTCGGGCGACTCGGGCGGCTCGGCGGCAAGGCGGCTCGACAGCAACTGCAGCTCAGCAGCTCGGTGACTCGGCGGCTCGGCGGCAGGGCGGCTCGGCAGCAACTGCAGCTCAGCAGCTCAGCGACCCGGCGGCTCGGCGGCAGGGCGGCTCGGCTGCTGGGCGGCTCGGGTGCAGGGCGGCTCGGCGGTGGGGCGGCTCGGCTGCTGCAGGTGAGCGGCTCGGCTGCTGCAGTGGGAGATGAAGGAGGAGGAGAAGCAGGGGAGGCCACACACCTGCCACCCCTCTGCTGGCCTCTCAGGTCGCCTCGACAGGCGACGGGAAAAGGGGGGGTGGGTGGTGGGGGCCGGTAGGTGCAGCGGCGGGGCCAGCAGGTGCAGTTGCGGGGCCGGTAGAAGGGGACGGCAGGAGCCGTCAGGAGGGGACGGCGGGGCCGTCAGGAAGGGACGGCGGGGCCGTAACGAAGGGACGGCGGGGCCGTCAGGAGGCGACCGGGCCGCGAAGGGGCGGCTGGGCCGGGATGTGGCGGGGCCGCGACGGAGGCAGGCGGCGGGGCCGCGTAAGGGCCTGGGCGGGGCCGCGACAGAGCCGTCAGCGGGGCCGCGTGAAAGCCGGGGCGGGGCCGCGTAGAAGCCGGGGCGGGGCCGCGCGAGAGCAGGCGGCGGGGCCGCGAAGGAGCCGGGGCGGGGCCGCGTGAGAGCAGGCGGCGGGGCCGAGTAAGGGCCTGGGCGGGGCCGCGACAAAGCCGTCGGCGGGGCCGCGTGAAAGTCGGGGCGGGGCCGCGTAGAAGCCGGGGCGGGGCCGCGCGAGAGTAGGCGGCGGGGTCGCGAAGGAGCCGGGGCGGGGCCGCGTGAGAGCAGGCGGCGGGGCCGCGTAAAGGCCGGGGCGGGGCCGCGACAGAGCCGGCGGCGGGGCCGCGTGAAAGCCGGCGACGGGGCCGCGTAAGGGCCGGTGGCGGGGCCGCGTCAGTGAAGGCGGCGGGGCCGCAGGGGAAATGGCGACCCGAGGGGTCGCTAAAAAAAATCGCGCCTCGGGGGGCGCTTCGGTGGGCCCAAAAAAACGGTCCTTCGAAGGACCCGCTCTATACCATGTGATAATAAGCAAACAGGAATGAAATGACTAAGTCAGGGTTGGGTACAAATACAACCCTAGAAAGCTGTACCCCACATGTGCTACCCCACTATAGCCTACAAACATGCATCAGCTATAGTAATCTGACATAATGCTATGTCCACTGCATACACGTCAGCTCCAGCAGCGACAGCCCGTTTCATCGTGATGGCGTTGACCTGGACCGTCGAAGACTCGGGTGGCTGCCAGCGAGGTAGGACGACCCAGGTACCACTATTTCACACTGTGCAGCTACCCGTCGTCCAGTCAATTCGCGGGTTATACCATCGCAGCCAATCACGTCCCAGTAAAATGTCGTGCCCATCCAGTGTCGTTGCGAGCATTTCCTGTGTAAACCCGAAGTTTCCTCCGCAGCGGACTTTTACTCGCTCCACCTTTTCCCGTATGGCTAGTGGCGTTCCGTCGACTAAGCGTGCATCTATCTCAGGTAAGCATCGGTTAAGTGTTAACTGTAATTTCCGTGCGGTTGCGGTATTAACTAAGCTGTGACTTGCTCCCCCGTCAATAAAAATCTTCACTGCTGCTCCATGTATTTTCCCGTAGATCAGTACCGGGCAATCCGTCGCTGTACCCTCCTTATTCATCCGAGCCCGATTGATGGCGTGAATCGGTACTGTGACTCGGTGAGGGTCGGTGTGGTTGGGCGAGCAGGCAGTCTCGTCAGTAGTTGGCCCAACTTCTACTGACTGCTGGCGTTTCCCTGCCTCTGAGACTCCCTCCCCTGCTCTGCTCCTCGGCGCCTCAGCTCCTCTGGGCATTCGCTCTTGGGATGGCCCGGCCTGTTGCAAGCAAAGCAGCGCCCTTTAAATGGTGCGGCAGCTGCATTTGTTGCAACGGCGTGTACAGTGGCGTGCTCGGTCGGTCCCCGAGGGCGATGCCCGTAATAGGACCCCGGTCTCGGTCGGCGTAGAATGTCGATCTTCTCGGCGAGCGCGAGAATCTCGTTAAAATTAGAGAGTCCGCGCAGCATTATTTCGTGCGAGATATCCGGCTTCAGCCCTCCGACATAACGGTCCACCCGCTCCGCTTCGTGCATGTAGCCGACCTGCTCGCAAAGTGCGAGAAAACCGCTTGTATAATCTTGAACTGACCCGAGCTGGCGCCAAGTGCGCAATCTTTGACGCGCCGAAATTGAAGCCGCGATCGGCTCAAAACGCGCCCGAAGCCCTGCGCACCACGCATCCCACGTGCTGTATTGGGCGGTCTCACAGAACGAACTCCAGGTGACAGCTGGACCCGTGGGCCCTTCCTCGTGCGACGGTGGCTCGTAGGCGCGTGGCGACGTCACGATGACTCGCCACCAGTCCATGGCGGGGCCCCTTAGCAGTGAAACTGCATACCGGATCTTCGCGGCGTCCGACTCGACGTAATTTGCGTCGAAGAAGACGTTCATCGTGAAGACCCACGATTGAACCGTCGGACCGCCGCGTTGGCTTGGGTCGAAGCAGGGCGGGCGTTGCGGCTTGAGCGGCATTGGTGCCATGATGGCTTGTTCGCCACTTGTCGCCGCAAATTCCACGTGCCGACGGGCTTCTCGGGGCTCCCGCGGGCTTGGTGCGATCCTGTTTCCTCCCATGCCAGGCATCGGCTGGGCGGCGCCATTACTGGTTGTGCCTGAGCGTTGTCCCATGCTGTCGTGTTGTGTTGGTGTGCCGGACGAGATGACGATCGGTTCATCCGAATGTGCCGATACATTTGTTGGTGTGTGTGATGTCGTCGGAACGTTCACCGTGGACTGTTGACGGGCGGAGTCACGTTCCGCCGTGAGTGTCGCGATTTGGAGCGCTGAATCTTCCAGTCGACGCACGAGACGATCAAGCTGCTCCTACGTTAATGTGGCGAGCGTGAAATCGGCCATGGCGGGGGTGTCAGGCAAGCTCAGCGAGAGCCTCGGTCGTGGCCGTGCGTGCTTACGAGAGAGCACTACGAGCGGCGGTGCTGTATCGCTGAGAGACGTCTACCCCCCCCAAAAATTGAGATAGTGGGGAAGCGAAGGTGTGGATGCGGTCCGAGCTGAGATCATAGGCTCTGATACCAAGTGTTACGAGTGCAATTGAGTGAACGAACGAGAATTGCACTATCGAAGCAAGAATACAATGAGCGAGGGCGTGAGCGAAGAATATATAGCGAAACTACAGTGGTAACGGTAATGGTCTGTGGTAGTCGCGCGACGAGCCTGGGACTGAGGTTGGGAAAGTGTCGAGGCGTAGGCCCGGAGCGCGGGTTACCAGCCGAGCCGTGAGGTCGGGATGCGATGTGCAAAAAATGGCGGGATGATTGTCGATGCGATGATCGCGAGTGGTAACGGTGCTGACTGAGGTGCTACAGTGATGTACGCGTTGAGCAGGGATGCGAAGTAAGGAAAAGGGATTTTCCTTACAACACACAACGCAAGCGGGTGGTGTAGAAGGATCAAATAGCATATACATTCCGTTCTTGTCTTTCTCATAGTTCTACAGGAGTTACCAAGGAATTCATCTTCCTAAGTGGAAACAAGTAGAACCTTGCATAGCTTCCAGGTGTTATTCACGAAAACATTATCAAGTTTGGTTAGCATTTTTCATCGACCCTGCTTCGTGCCACCCATTGTTCCAAGTCCCATACCACTGCTATTGCTGCTTCCAGCATCAGCAACACCAGCAGTACTTGTGGCATTGGTCGCACCAGGATCTTCTCTTTCCCCGCCCTTCCCAGTCCCTGAAGCTATATCTGAATCTGAACCCGAGAAGCTAGCCGATGCTACTGCTGAAGGCTTCAAACCCTCACTCATCATTGCAGCAGCTGCTGCTCCCAGTAGCGGTGGTCTGGACTCTCCTGCTCCCCCTCGCATCACCACCTCTCCTTGTGCCAACACTTGCCCACCAATGCTCCTTGCTTCGCCTGCTGTTGCCAAGTCAGAAGCACTCACGCCTGAGGTGCTGGTGAGATTATTTCCACCAACCCCGCCAACCCCACCACCACCATCACCACCTTCATCAGTGACCGCAGGCCGTGTATTTGCACCAGTTAAAATGACATCAGCAGCAAAGACAGGCGCAGGTGCAACCTCCACTCTCATTCCCACTCCCACCCCTAGCTTCCCATCAGAAACCAGCCTTACACCCTCACTTTCCTCCCGCTTTCTCAAATCACCCGGCCCCCCTTCATTCCCACGCCTCCCATCCTCACTCCGCCTCCTCTCGTGTTCTCTCTCACTCTCCCTCTTCTCTATCTGGCTTGACTGTCCCACTTGTTTCACCTCTCCCTCGCTCTCCTCATCACCTCCGTCCATTCCCAGTGCCTGTTGAATCTCAGCCTTCCAATCAGTATCATAACCCCCCTCCCCTTCCACCTGGAACAGTATAGCCTGCTGCATTCCTTCCCTCTCTCCGTCCTTCCCTTTCCCTCCCTCCTCTTCTTCTTCCCCCAACTCCTCTCCTTCCACTGTTTTTCTACCCGCCTTCACCTCCTGTTCCTGTATCGTCAGCCTCCCACTTTGACCCACTGCCGCTGTGCCTGTATGTGTGTCTGCTCCTGTACCAGCACCCATGCCTGTGCCTGTACCCGTGCCTGTGCCCATGCCTGTGCCCGTGGTTGAGGGAGCTACTTCTGGTGGTTGGGGAGGAGGCGAGAGAACTGGGGCTGGAGGTGCAGAGGAGGCAGAGGGGGAGGCAGGGGGGGAGGCAGGGGGGGAGGCAGAGGGGGAGGCAGAGGGGGCGGTAGACGAGGGTGTGAGGGAGGGAGAGGAGGACACAGGAGATGGCGGGGAGGTGGGGGGCAGGATGGGGTTGGGGGAGGGAAGGGGAGAGGAGGGCGGCATAGAGGGGGCAGCGGGAGTGGAGGGAATGGGAGAGGAGCGAGGGGAAGTGGAGGCAGGTGCAGGAGTGACGAGAGGGGGAGGGGATGCTTGTGGAGGGGACGAGGTGGAGAGCTGGCGGGGAGGAGATAGAGATGCTGGCGCCTGGGAGGAGGCTAAGCCTGCTTGTGCTTGGGAGGGTGGTTGTTGGTTGGGCGGTGGATGGTTGAATGGCGATTGGCTGGATGTCAATGGTGGTTGGGGCTGTGATGATGGTGGCACAACGGCTGGAGTGGGGAATGGCGATGGTGGTTGTGATGAAAGCGATGTTTGTGATTGGGATTGTGATGATGTTACTGCTGATGATGGTGGGATTGGTGGTGGCATTGGTGGTGGCATTGATGGTACTGGAGAGGGTGGTGGCATTGATGGTAATGGTGTTGACGTTGGCGCTGATTTTGAAAAGCGTGGTTGTTCAGGCGGGGAGCAGGCAGACGTGGTTGGAGGAGGGGGGTTGAGGTAATCCCAAGGAGGAGGAGGGGGCGTGGATGAGGGGGGTGCTGGTGATGGAACTGATACTGATGGCACTGCAGGGATCGATGCTGGTTCTGCTGCTAATGCTGCTGCTCGTGGTGCTGATGCTGATGGTGCTGGTGCTGATGGTAATGGTGATGGTGGTGCTGATGGTGACGCTGATGCTGATGGTGATGGTGCTGATGCTGATGGGGATGATGCAGGCACCGATGCTGAGGAAATTAGAGGAGGTGATCTTAACTCCCCTGAGGGGCGCACACCTGTGCCCCCACTGCCCCTCATTGCCTGCTCCTCTCTCCACCTCGCTGCACGCTGCTCTCTCAACACCTCCCGCCTGCTTGCCGAAGCGCCACCGCCACTGCCACCACCATCAGCACCGCCACTGCCAGCACCACCAAAGCTAGCACCACCAATGCCAGCACCACCACTGCCAGCACCACCAATGCCAGCACCACCACTGCCAGCACCACCAATGCCAGCACCACCACTGCCACCACCACCACTGCCACCACCACCTATGCCAGCACCACCACTGCCACCACCACCACTGCCAGCACCACCAATGCCACCACCACCACTGCCAGCACCACCACTGCCAGCACCACCACTGCCAGCACCACCACTGCCAGCACCACCACTGCCAGCACCAGCAGCACCACCAGCACCACTGCCTCCGGCAAATGCACCTTGCTCACCCATTCTTTCACCTGCAGCCGTAGCTGTTCTCAAGCCTAAATGTGTTGCACCCCCCCCTGCTGCACCTCCCCTTGCTGCTCCTTTCCCTGCTGCACCTCCCCCTGCTCCACCTCCCCTTGCTGCACCTCCCATTCTTTCAGCTGCTACTCCCTGTGCTGGTACCATCCGTGCCGCCTGTTGCCCTGCCATGCCTTGCACTCTGCCCGCTGCTGCTTGCATTCCCGTTGTTGCATCTCCACTCGCTGCTGCTGCTGATGGTGGTGGTGGTGGTGGTGGTGGTGCTCCTGCTGCTGCTGGTGTACCAACTGAGGTTCGAGCAGACTGTGGTGTGGTTGGGGGAGATGCACCAGAGGCGTTGGCGGGAGCACCTGTAGAAGATGTAGCAGCGGGAGCAGAAGGAGAAACGGGGCCAGCAGTAGCAGAGGGCGGAGGAGGGCGAAGGGCAGCTGTACCAGAAGCGGGGGCAGGAGAGCGAGGGACAGCAGCAGAGGTGAAAGGTGGATTGGCAGTTGCGGCCGTAGCAGGCGAGGTAGGAGAAGTGACAGGTGCAGCTGTAGCAGAGGAGGAAGGGGGAGCGGCAGAGGGCACTGGAACAGAAGCAGGGGGCTGCCTTGGGCTGCTGAGGTTCCCAGGTGGGTTGGCGGGGCCTCTGGGTGTTGGTGGTGGGGGAGGAGCAGCAGAGGGTGCATTGGGTGTTTGAAGAGTGGGAGAGAATGATGGAGCGGCAGAGGGAGGTGGGCCAGCAGGAGCCCGTGCAACAGGACTGGCTGTGGTGGGTGGAACAGCGGTGGGTGGGGCACTACTGGGTGCAGCAGTGGTGGGTGCTGCTTGCCTGTTCGGAGGGCTGCTGGTAAGCGGGCCAGCACCGGTGGGGGTGGAAGGAGAGGGGGTCGCCAGCAGAACGGGGGAGGCTAACGGGACGGCTGAGGTGGGAGTAGCTGGGGAGGAAGGAACATTCGGAGAGGGAGGAGGGGCGAAAGCAGCAGCAGGAGCGGGCTTTGCAGGGGGCTTCTGGGGAGAAGAGGAGGGGGGCTGGGGAGGACTGGAAGGATAGGGAGCAGAGGGGGGACGGGGAGAAGAGGGGACAGGGTTGGCAGGGGGTCTTCCCTGCGTGGATGAGGTGGGGGTAGGGGAAGGAAAGGCGGGAGGGGCTGATGGGGAAGTGGGAGAAGGGGGTGATCGGGGCGGGGAGGGAGGGCGTGATGAGGGCGAGATAGAGGGAGGGGCTGATTGGGGACCAGGAGAAGGAGGAGGAGGTGACCGGGGAGGGGAGGGAGGGCGTGACAAGGGAGGGACAGGGGGAGGGGCTGAGGAAGGGCTGGGAGGAGGGGGAGGAGGGATGAAGGGTTGTGTGGGTGATGACGTGGATTGCTGCAAGGGAGGTGACGTGGATTGCTGCATGGAAGGTGTCGTGGATTGCTGCATGGGAGGTGACGTGGATTGCTGCATGGGAGGTGACGTGGATTGCTGCATGGGAGGTGACGTGGATTGCTGCATGGGAGGTGACGTGGATTGCTGCATGGGAGGTGTCGTGGATTGCTGCATGGGAGGTGACGTGGATTGCTGCATGGGAGGTGACGTGGATTGCTGCATGGGAGGTGACGTGGATTGCTGCATGGGAGGTGACGTGGATTGCTGCATGGGAGGTGTCGTGGATTGCTGCATGGAAAGTGACGTGGATTGCTGCATGGGAGTTGATATGGGAGGCGGGGGAGAGGAGACTTGGGGAGGAGAGAAAGCGGAGGGGGGAGGCGAGGAGGGAGGAGGGAGAGGAGGGACAGAGGGATAGGAGGAGGGGGGAGCAGCACCAGCACCACTGGCAGCTGTGCCAGCACCACCAGGACCACCAGGAGCACCAGGAGCACCACCACCACCACTACCACCACTAGCAGCAGCAGTAGGAGTAGGAGGGGAGTGATGCAGACCGCCATTAGCAGCACCTGCCTCGCCTGCACCGACCACTCCGTTCCCATTCGCGCCTCTGCTCGCACCTCCATTCGCTCCCAAGCTCGCATGCCCATTCACCTCCCCTCCTCCCTGCCCTGCTGCTGCTGCTGCCCCTGCTGTTGCTCCCACACCCGCTCCCACACCTGCCCCTACACCCGCTCCCACACCCGTGCCTACCCCATTCCCAGCCCCTACTAGCACTCCTCCCCCTGCCCCTGCCCCCGTCCCTGTCCCTGCCCCTGCCCCTGCCCCTGCCCCTACTCTCGCCCCATTCTCAGGCGCCCTCGCAGCCCCACTAACCCCTCCTCCCCCTGCTGCTCCTCCTCCCGACCCCCCTCTTCCACCTCCTCCCACACCCCCTCCCGCACCCCCACCCCCACCCCCACCTCCGCCCCCGCCACCTCCCCCTCCTGCTCCTCCAACGGACCCAGAGCCAGCGACACCCAGCCCAGCAGCGACGAGCAGCGCGGGGGGGCGCATCTCCTCCTCCTCTTCGTCCTCATAGTCCTCTTCCTCCTCCTCGTCGAATTCATCCTCATCGCTGTACCCCCCCCGTGCCACCTCGCCCTCGTCGTACAGTCTCTGCACCGAGCGGATGGGCGTGGCTAGACGAGCCCCATGGTCGAGAATGATCTTGTACATTTCGAGCACCACGTTCTCCTGGGAAGGGGAAAAGGGTGGGGAAACGGGAAAGGACAGGGAAGGTATTGGGCACATCTCCTCCTCATCCTCCTCGTCGAATTCATCCTCATCGCTGTACCCCCCCCGTGCCACCTCGCCCTCGTCGTACAGTCTCTGCACCGAGCGGATGGGGGTTGCTAGACGGGCGCCGTGGTCGAGAATTATTTTGTACGTCTCTAGAACAACATTCTCCTGGGAGGTGATGGGAATAATGTGGGGGAACAAGACAGGGAAAAAGAGGCGTGGAAATGAGATGTCTGAGGAAGAGGAGAAGAGAGGAATAGACAAGGCCTGTGGTCCAAGAAAAATGTTTCACATCTCAAAATCCGCAATCTCTCTTCGAGGTGCTGAAAGAATCAGTGAATCCCTTGTTTGAATGGTACAGCATGACAGAGCGTCCAAGCTGGTACGTGTACGGCGTGGCATGCTTTCTCGCACCCCTTTCTCACCTTGACTCGCAGGTACTCTTCGAAATAAGGGGTCTTGACGAAGCACGAGCACATGACCTGCATGCAGAGCGGTGCAGAAGGGTGCAGGGGGATAGGAGGATGTCCAATAAGATGCAGCGAGGAATGCACAGAGGGAAGGATGGCGAGAGGGTGAGTGACGAGTGACACGTCAATAAGAAGGGGAGAATGAGTGCTGGAGGGAAACAACAGTGACAACACAACAATGGGCTTATTAAAGCAGCTGCAGAAACCCACGCTGGTGCAGTTGGTGGCAGTGGTGGCGCTGCCGATGGTCGAGGCAGTGCGTGCAGAGACTACCAGCATCCCATGCACCCATGCCAACACATGCCTGCATGCATGCTCCCCGCCCCAAATCCTCCCATCCCCCACCTCATCCTCTCATCCTCTTCTCACCATGATGGCCTGCAGCTGCTCATCAATGCGTTCCACACGCGCCGGTGCAGATGGCGCTGCTGATGGTCGTGGCAACGTGATGGCAGTGTAAAGGACTACCAACAGCTCATGCACCCATGCCAACAGACGCCTGCTCCACATGCCTGCATGCTCCCATCCCCACAACAACCCCTTTCTCACCATGATGGCCTGCAGCTGCTCATCAATCCGTTCCACAAACACACGCCTGTGCAGATGGCGCTGCTCCAGCATGGGGTGCTTGCCTATGAACTTGCGCATTGCAACCAGGATGTCCTGATGGGTGGGATGGGATTGGAAGGGGTACAGAAGGCTAGCAGTCACACATGCGCCCTTCCAAAATCGCTGCTCCAGCATGGGGTGCTTGCCGATGAACTTGCGCATCACCACCAGGATGTCCTGATGGAGAAATGGGAGCACGGGGGTGGAAAAGGGCAGAGCAGGGGTTGGGGGAGGTGGAAGCTGCACAGGGGTGTCCCCAGGCAATGCCGCTCCAGCATGGGGTGCTTGCCGATGAACTTGCGCATCGCCACCAGGATGTCCTGATGGGCGGGATGGGAGCAGAGGGGTGGAAACAAGGCAGAGCAGGAGCGTTGGGAGAGCTGGAAGTTGCACAGGGTGTCCCCAAATGCCGAAGTGAAATCTAAGGACTCTGATGGGCACAAGCTCACTCACACGCGCATGTGAGTTGCACTCTGATGGGCGTGTGAGTTGCACTCTGATGGGCGTGTGAGTTGCACAGGCACAGGGTGTGCTGGTGGTGCTGCGTTTTCTCATGTTCAGAAGCACAAGCTCACTCATACGCATCTCCGAACGTGAAATCGGAGGTTACCGGCAGCTTGTTGACGTCGAGGTCGCAGACGCCAAAGTGGATTTTGATGTGCCAGTGTTAGCGCGTACTCATTTGCAAAGGATTGAACATGAGCCATTGGGTTGAACATGAGCCATTGGGTTGAGTTTCAAGTCGCCTCAAATGAAAGAACACTGCATCTCACCGGCAGCTTGTTGACGTCGAGGTCGCAGACGCCAAAGTGGATTTTGATGCGCCAGTGTTAGTGCGTACTCATTTGCAAAGGATTGAACATGAGCCATTGGGTTGAACATGAGCCATTGGGTTGAACATGAGCCATTGGGTTGAGTTTCAAGTCGCCTCAAATGAAAGAACACTGCATCTCACCGGCAGCTTGTTGACGTCGAGGTGGCAGACCCCGAAGTAGATCTTGATGCGCCAGTGGTTGCGTGTGCTCATGTTGCGGATGACAATCACACTGAACTTGTGATTGGGGATGTGAATCGCCTCCCTGTCGTCGCCTCGCACTAGAGTTGGCTCCCACCACCCCACGTGCTGCATGGAGGAGGAGGGGGAAAGGGGAAGGGGAGGGAAAAATAGGAAAGATGAGGGTGAAAAATGAGACACTAAAACAAAAGATGTGAATCGCCTCCCTGTCGTCGCCTCGCACTAGAGTTGGCTCCCACCACCCCACGTGCTGCAGGGAGGAGGAGAAGAGAAGGGAAGAATGTGATCTGATGGCCTTATATTTCAGGCGCTTCACAAATTGACTCTGCAACGCAGCAGGGTACACTCCCACGCCACCATCCCACGTGCAGCAGGCAGCAGTAAAGTGGCGGAGAGAGGACGAGGGCGCATGCATCATACAGAGCCAGGGTAACAGTTTACCCCGTCTGTCAATTACAGACAACAATCGAGATTCTACATCCCCTCTTGTACGAGGGTAACAGTTTACCCCCCTGTATAGACATCAGCAGCACACCCTGCTACCTGGAAATCCCCTCCTGCTCACCTCCACGGTTCCGGATATCTCCTGGCCGTCGATGCGGCACACGATCCACTCGTTGACCATGAAGGGGCGAGCGGCATGGATCATGATGGACGAGAGGAAGTTGGTCACAATCTGACGGGGAGGAAGCGGGGCGGGTGGATCGGGAGGAACGGGAAAAGTTTGATGAGGTGGCTTTGAAACGTTTGCCAAAATCAATCATGATAGAGGAGGGGAAGTTGGTCACGATTTGATGGGGAGAGGGGGGGGGGGGGGGGGGGGGGGGGGGGGGCGCGGTGGTGTGGGTAATGCCGGGTGGGAACGGGTGGAGTGGAAGTGAGGTGAGCTGTTGACTACGTTGCATTCATGAGTGATGATGGATGGCCTCGAACGTCTCTCCTGACTCAGACCTTTCTTTTCTCGAGTCCTCCTTGCACTGCCCACCTCTCTAGCAGCCAGAGTCACCACAATGGTCCCCAGCCCTTCTGCAGTGATCCACTTGTGAGTGGAGAAGCCCAGCAGCTCCGTGAAGAGAAACACACCAAGAGAAACACACTCTCAGAACCCACCTCGCTTCCTCTCATTCATCTCTCAGCACGCACCTCTCTAGCTGCCAGGGTCACCACGACTGTCCCCAGCCCTCCAGCAGTGATCCACTTCTGAGTGGAGAAGCCCAGCAGCTCCATGAATAGAAACACCGCCGCCACCCACACGAGCGTGTACACCGTGTTGCCCACGAACTGCACTCCCACCTGGTGAGGGGGTTTGTGTGGGTGGGGAGGGGAGATGCCGTGTTTCAATGTACCCAAGCCACTCCTGCTGCCACCCACACGAGCGTGTACACCATGTTTCCCCCGAACTGCACTCCCACCTGGTGAGTAACGGGGAAACCAGGAATTTGTAGGGGGGTTTAAGCGGTAACGCACAGATGCTTACTCTTGCCACCCACACGAGTGTGCACACCGTGTTTCCCACAAACTGCACTCCCACCTGTTCCGGTGTTGTATGTGGAACAAACAAGTAAATGGGGAACGAACGAATGTGTAAAAGTGGAAATTGGCAACGATGCAAGCATTCCTACAAGCCACCCACACGAACGTGCACGGTGCACCCAGACAACGCAGAAACGGAAAAGCAGAGCCGGATGCAGAGTGGTGCTTGCAATGCGGGCGAAAGGGCGTGTGTGTGGGGCGGGGGGCCACAAAGGAGGGCAAGGAATAAATTTAAGTAGGCGACTCACGTTTCGGGTCTCCTCCTTGTTGCTCTGCTTCTCCATCATCTTCTGTATCTGCCGAGTTAGGCTGCGACGTGGGGGGGGGGAGAAAGGGAGACGCGATAGAAAGGACAGGAAATGCGGAATGGAAAAGTGGGAGGGTCCAACATCGAATGCAGCAACGCGTAGAGGGTTGAAGCGATGAAGTCATAACGGAAAAGAAATATGGGTGAAGCATGTGGCATGGGCTGAGGGACACCACAATTCACTCGCTTGGTAGTGCTGACTAAGCGGACTCAGAAGTAAACCTCAAGCATGAAGTCCCCAGAAGCTAAGACGTAGCAACAGGCATCTCACTTGGCGGTGCAGAAGGCAAAGACGAGCACAGTGGAGAGCGATCGCAGGAAGTTGACAAAGCGGTCCTTGATGAGCTGCCCCGCCTCCGTGGGCATGCTGAATGGCTGGAAGCAACTGCGCGGGGAAAGAGGGAAAGGGGGCGGAGGAGGGGTAGCGAGATGGGGAGGGATCAGGGAGTTTGGAGGTATGAGACAGAGCGGTCCTTGATGAGCTGCCCCGCCTCCGTGGGCATTGAGAATGGCTGGAAACAGCTGCACGGGCAGGGGGGCGGATGAGAGAGTTTGGGAAGGAAAAAAACTCGGGAGGAGCAGAAAAATGGAAAGGGGATGGGGACGGTTCAGGGAATTTGAAGGTATGGGCTAACGCGGTCTTTGATGAGCTGACCCGACTTGGTGGGCATGGCGAACGGCTGGAAGGGCGCAGGAAGGGAGAGGGGGTGATGGGGGGGAGGAACGGAGGAGTGGGGAGGAAGAGGGTCCAGGGGGTTTGGAGGTATGAGGCAAAGCAGTCTTCGAGGGGAGATTGTCGGGGAGCAGGAGAGCATTGGCGACAAAGGGGGCATTCAAGCCACTCACCCGCAGAGCACGAGCACGCAGCCCCAGAGGATGAGCGGGCGCACATACGACACCATCACGTGGCGAGACCGCGATTCCTCCCAGTTAGCGTCGCTCTTTTTAATCACCTTCCTGCACAGCCGCACCAGTGGCCCCAGCAGCCAGATGGCCCCCGCTATAAGCACCAGCGCGGGCAGCACGGGGGAGAGAGGGTGGTGCAGCCAGTCTAGAGGCACCTTCCCTGCCGCCATGGCCTTTCTGAGAAGCTTCGTGAAGATCTCAGACAGAGGAGGCATCTGGTTGAAGGGATTTGGGAATTTGAGAAAGAAGGGTACGGCCCCTGCTGCTGCTCCTGCTGCTCCTGCTGCTGCTCCTGCTGTTCCTGCTGCTGCTCCTGTTGCCCCTGCTGCTCCCGTCCCTCCTGCTGCTGCTCCTGATGCTCCTGCTGCTGCTCCAGCTGCCCCTGCTGCGCCTGCTGTCCCTGCTGCTGTCCCTGCTGCACCTGCTGCCCCTGCTGCTGCTGCTCCTGCTGCGCCCGCGCCAGCAGCAGCAGAGGCACGCACTAGAGTGCGCAATCCTCGCCTGTTCCTACCAACACGAAAGCCTAACGAACCACCTACGGGCCCTCGCCGCTGGCCGTACAGAGAACTCCGATATAAACTCGTTCGATTTAACGGAGTGGGATGCAGAGAGTGCGCACGGGGGAATTCAGAAGAAAATGCCGCGCAAGCAGCAGTCGAGCTAGAATTGGGAGCAATCAATACTGGTTCCGCTGAAAATTCGCGTGCAATAAAATTTGCTGGTAACGAGGGTGCGGGTAAATCTGCTGGTGAGGTACGTGCTGCTGGTAACCAGAGTCCATCCACGCCCCATCTTCTGAGACCATGCGTGCATCCTGTCCGTCCACTTGCCCTAAATTCTACAGCTTCCAGTCCACCTGTTTCGGAAGCTAGGCCTTTCCACCTACATGCTCTCAAATCTAGGGTTTCATTAAACGGCTCACTGACGGCAGCTCGACGGCTTCTGCCGCTCCGTCTCTTGAGAATGATAACACGAGATGACGAATTTGAAAGCCCCGAGATTCTGATCGGACGGTGCGCATGGACTACGAATGATCTGACGGCGTGGATTGGCCTGGAGCGCGGGATTCTGTGTACTGCTCTCTTTCTGTGATTCAGAGAAGGGGATGATCTGGGGGATCCCGATGAAGCAGCAGCAGCAGCAGATGTGGATTCAGATGTCTCTTGTAACGATGCTGCCTTTAACGTGGCTGTGAGAGTGATCGCGAGGACGGCTGCGAGTGAAGAGGCCGCAGAATGGATCAACGAAGCTGCTGCTGTCGCTGATGCTGCCACTGCTGACGATGTCGCTGCGGCTGTTCCGTTGCTCTGACTGGCGGACCCGGCGTGAGACTGTCGCAACGGTGAGACGGTCACACGGTGAAAACCAACTCGGCTCGCTTGCTGCTTCTGCCTTGGTGACCAAGACGCGTTGCTAAGGCGAGCTGCCACGCGAGCCGGCCGTCTATACGCGCTAAGAGACGACGTTTCCCGAAGCGTGCGAGGCCACGGCCTTCCATGAGGAGCGCTCGGGGGTTTCGAAACGGATGTGCTTGTAACGGGCGAGGAATGTACAACGTGGGGAATGTGCTTGTACGAGGAGGCTAGCAAACACGCCATAGGAAGCTGCAAAGCCAACGAGCGACAGGAAGATCACGGCAATTAACGATGCGAGTCACGCAGGCATGACATATAAAGCCTGCTGACGTGCATAATCGTTCATGGTCGGGGTAAGTCAGGGACAAACTACACGAAACTGCATTTTCAGCGACCTTGAGTAGAAAAGGAGAACCAAAAAGAAATGGAGAAGTCCTTAATAAACTAGTCCGTGGCAACAACCCTAGGGATCGCCAGAGAACCAGATACGCGAGGAGCGGGTCTGGCGGAGCTTTCCTAAGCGGCTGTTGCTTCTGGACAGAAGAATTCAGAATCAAAACCAGGGCGAAGAGAGGTGAGTGACAGATGGATCTCAGTTTGCAGCAGTAGGCCTGACTGCAGAGGGAAACTGCAGTGGGTCATTCAATCCGCCATGCCTGATTGACGACGAGACTGACTGCCGTGTGCGTGCGCCCTTGGGATTGGTTGCGATGGTTTCTCCCCGCCTTGGGAGTGGGTGGATGGACGGAGCTGTGCTCGCTCGCCGCAGGTCAACGAAAAATCTGCTCCGCAGCGACCAGACTGCGAACGTTACACATATCACTTCAACACTAATGTAGTGCTACTTGGATACAATCAATAGCATGTGGAATGTACAATAGCTTTGAAGAATGAGCTTTTTATGCTTGTACGTACAGTACTTCTTAACCCTTGTACTTTTGATTCAAATCCTACCATATCACGCATAACATTCATATTGACAAGCATGGCTACAATGCAAGGTGTAACTTGTGTAACTTGTTTGCGACCTAAGGCAATCTCTACTTCAGCAGCCTCTAGCTCAATAGCCCCAGTTGTGGTTGCGAATCTCCTCGTCAAACTTCTCCTTGAGCTTGGGATTCTTGGCCAGATACTCATCCACCGTCATCGTCTTCAGTGCATCCTGTAACTCGCAATTGGCACATGCAGGTTACAGGGGAAAACAGGACACGACACGACACATGAATGGTGCAAGAATTTGCACTTCGAAGGGAGAAAGGGCAGACAAAGGTAGAAACTAGGCATCGGAGGAGCATCGATATGCCCAGTACAAAGCATCTACATCTCACATTGTAGGGCTAACGGGGTTAAGTGAAAGGGGCACGAGAAATGGGCGGCATGTGCACGCACCTTCTGCGCTCGAATCTTCTCTATCTCGTCTTTAAGACGGGCTGCCTCACGCTTTGATACCTCCTCCTCCTCCGCTGCCTTGGCCACCTGTGACAATAACCAAAGGTGCACACACACACATGCATGCACGCACACAAACATACACACACGCACACACACATGCATATTCAAATCACACACCAACACATGGCTCACACTCCCCCCTCATTCCCCCCAAACACACACATATGCCATGCAGGAGACATGCGTCAGAGCATAGAGTGACACAAGAGGTGCGTGAGGGAAAGCACCCTGGCATACATGCAAGGGTGGAAATGGTTATGCGACGGTGAAGGGTGTGCAATGGAAGAATGTGGGGCAGTGTGGGGCAGGGATGGGCATACAAAAGAAGAATGCAGAGTGTGGGGGGGGGGGGGGGGGCGACTCAAATCTAACTCAATGCAAACGAATTTCACACGAAGAGAATTAGGGTACGCACCAGCTGCTGATGCTCCTTCTCGAACTCAGGAGTGAGCGTGTCCACATAGTCCGGGATCTCAATGCCTGCACGCCTCAACCGCACCACATCCCCCCTCATCCCCCCCCACCCCCCCACCCCGACACACCACCACTCCCCCCCCTTCCCCCCCCCCCCCCCCCCCCCCCCCCCCCCTCAAGAGAACAAAATAACAAGTGGGCGAGAGAGTGAAAAAGGGGCGGGCGATAGAAAGCACGAGACAATCGGTTTCATAAATGTGGCTATCCCAACATTCCTCAGTCAACCCAATCATTCTCACACCACCATCTTCCAACCTACAGTCCCACACACTATGCAAGGCGAAGCAAGAGACTCACTCTTGTACGACTGCTCGAACATGTCAACGACCTTGGGGTTGAGCTTCGAGCGGTACAGCGCCCAGTCGATCTCCACCACCTTCTGCTCGCTCGCATGCCATGAGGGATAACACGACAGAAAACCGGGACGCTAAGAATGAGAAGGAATTGGGTAAATAGCCACTTCACAGCGGTACAGAGCCCAGACGATCGCTACTTCCTTCTGCTCGCATGAGACGCAGCACTACAGAGAATTGTAACTGGAACAGGGAATGAGGAGGAAGTGAGCACGATGCGAAGCGTGCAACCAGTGAATCCCGGCCACAACAAGGGTGATCAGACGGGTACTAACTGCATTGCCGTTGGCCATTCTGGTTACAACGACCCCGCACGAGAGATATACAACGCCGACGACGGGTTACCCGCAGGTCACAGATGTTAGGGTTTCGCGCAAAAGAGCACCAGCAGGTTGTATGCGGCCACAGCGTCGCATAAAGCGGCAGCGTCGCAGGAAAGAAGGCGAAATCCGAGTAGTCTTGGTGATCCGAGTGCCGGTACTAGCCTGAGACACCGTACCCGCCTTAGCGACCTCAGTGAGCTTCACGGTTTTCGCAGCCAAGTCGCCAAGATATACGAGCCCGGAGGATTCATGAGGCGAGAACGATGAAGTATAAATATAGGGCCGACTGGTCCTAGGACGAAGATTATCCGCGACTGGATATAATTTCGTTGAACTTCTTATTGAGCGTGTGCGACACCTCCTCGCGAGCGACACCTCCTCGCGTGCGACAGCTACTCGCGTGCGATAGCTACTCGCGAGAGACAGCTGCTCGTGTGCAACACCTCGTCGTGCACGCGCTTCAGGCTCGGCTCAAAGTCCACCTACTGGCAGTGGAGTAACTCTAAGATCGCATTTGCACACTACGGCGGGTAACCAGACCTCGTTGAACTTCGTGTTGAGCGTGTGCGACACCTCGTCGTGCGCGCGCTTGAGCGCCGCCATCTCGCGCTTTCCCTCCTCGCTCACCACCACACGACTCAGCTTCTCCCAGTCGATCGCCTTGAACGCCCGCTGCACCGCCGCCTTGCCGCTCATCCTGGCGCTTCGGAAAGATCAAGAGATTTAAGGATCGGGAACGGCGCACGCGAGCGCGGATGGGTGGCGATTAGCGCGCGCGAGTGGCGGAAGAATGGCGGGAGTGGAAGACGGTGGAGTGGCGCGAGGCGGCGGAGAGCACAGCAGGGTGATGGTGAAAGGACTGGAGTATATTTAGGTCTGAGCTGAGGATATAGGTGGGACGTGAGAGACATGTAGCAAAGCTGGTACAGTAGAGCTTCAATACAACAAAACTACAATTATGTTATAGACAAATCAAGATTCAACTGTTCCCGACTTATGATCAAGGAAGTCTGTCTGTCCATATCGCGTCATATTTTCGTTCGGCTTGAAGTGAGGCGCGGAGGACGCAAGGGTCAGCCAGCCGACCATGTTTCGCAGAAATTGAATTATTGATCGTCGCAGATGCTCGCTCATTCCGACATGTTGAAATAACACCTCGTGATTGGAAGGAAATGGTCATTCATCGCCTCTAGTAGCCCAATAATGCGAATTTCGTCGCATAGCACGGCTCCAGCGGAAATAATTCAGACATTGGTGGTCCTCACAACCCGCGGTCCGTACAGGATCCATGCAGAGCGGTTTAGGATAATCCACACTCATTCTGTCGTGGTGCAGAGCGGTTTATGCGAGGTGCTCCAGCAGGGCTCTCAAATCCAGCCGCTTCACCTCTACCTACAAAGGAGTTGGGGAAGCAACTCCTGTTTACTCAACCTACCTTTCTCGCCCGGTTCTTTCCTCTCTGAAGTGCCTCTGCAATTCGCCTGTCTATCCCACTCCAATACTAGTGTGCTACTTTCCTGCTTCCTGTCCCCGTGACCTACGTTTCAAGCCGTTTTGAGCTCTGCTTTGAAGTCCAAGACTTCATCGAGGTCTTGACCAGCTTATATCGCACCGGCCAAGCAGAGGATATGGAGCGCCGCGCTTCGTCCTTTTTCGCCATCGTGCTAGCGGCCGCGGTGGTACTCGTCTGCGCTTCGGCACGTGTGGAGGCACTATCGATGGCCCGCGTCGGAGGGACCTATACTGACGTTAAAGGCGCCGCGAGCAGCGATGAGATCAGATCCCTGGCGCAGTGGGCCATCCGCGAGATTAACAGCAAAACGGTCAGACCTTATCCACGTTACCTCATCCCTTCGCGAAATTCGCATGAACATGCCCTGCCGACGAAAACCCGTCGCATTGAACGCGAGTCATCGCGTATTCGAGCCCATGCTCTCAGGCCTCGTCTTCGAACGGATGGCATTGCCGCGTCCCTTTATTCCACCACCACCGCTGTCACCGCCGCCAACTCACGCGGGCTACCCGTCAATTCTTCGTCCCCTCCTCTCTCCCCCCCCCCCCCCCCCCCCTCCCCCCCTCCTTCTCCCGCCACCCGCCTTCCCCACCACCCAGGGCACGCTGTACAGCTTCGTGTCGGTGGTGTCCGCTCAGGAGGAGCTCGAGGTTCCGAGCGGCAGCTACCGCATCAAGATCAAAGCCACCGATTCCTCCGCGTTGCCCGCTAAGCGAGCCTACACGCTCGGAGGCGGTCCTTCCGGCGGCGTGGGCGGCGCGTTCAAGAAAATCAAGACGATGCTGCGAGGCGGTAAGACGACGATGCCGATGACGAAGTCGATGACGCCCAAAGGGAATGGTGTCGTGAGCGCGCTGATCACGCTGCTCGTGGATGCGGTGGATGGGTCGGCCTTGGGCCAGCCGAACAAACTTAAGAATTTCAAGAAGCTTTAGTGATAGAAGCGGCGGCGGGTAGGAGTTTTTGGAATAAAGGCAGCTGCAGGTGCGCTTGGATGTGAACCGACGAGCACGTTTTGCACCGCTGCAAGTTATTGGGGTGATCAGGCACTTTCGAATTCCCTTCAAGGTGCGCTCGACTCAACATTGGATACGTGCGCTTCTTCCGACCTAACGAGTTACTGCTGGTGGGAAGAAGAATAATGAACTGTTAGACATTGCACGAGTGGCTAGTAACGTTCCTCCCTGTCCCATTTCTTTAGCTTTCTGATGTAACATACGGCCGAATGGTGTACATGGTTACTACGAGTCGTTGTCTTTGCATTGATACATAGGAGCGAAGCACAAGCAGATTCTTGCTTCAGCCACAAGAAACAGAATGAAGCAGAGCTATCAAGACAGAGAAGCCACGATCAGACCAATGCCAAGAGACACAGAGAGTTGGAACTGGCTAATGTCAAGAGACACAGTTAGTTGAAACTGGCAAATGTCAAGGGACACAGATAGTTGAGCCTGGCTAATGTCAAGGGACACAGATAGTTGAACCTGGCTAATGTCAAGGGACACAGATAGTTGAACCTGGCTAATGTCAAGGGACACAGATGGTAGTTGAAACTGACTAATGTAAAGGGACACAGAGAGTTGAAGTCTTGACACATCAAGACTTCCTCCATGAGAGATTCTCAACTGCACGCGTGCATCATGCGGCCAGGATAGAGCCACCACACCACACGCTTCATCTCACCCCAAACCCAGCTAAACGAGTTAAGCACGCTGCAGGTGTTGCACAAACAGCTCGCCGCTCCATCTATACTCCCAAACCCCAACACCCACTCACAACCCCTTTCATGCATCCCTCTCCACTCAAGAGGGAACAGGAGGAGAGGATACAGACAGCTTCAAGGCTTTGAACTGACTCGTTTGAAGAGACATACAGCAGTACCCAGTGCGGGTTTTGATTGATACAGGTATGGTAACCGGACAGAGTTCATTCATTCAATTACCTGGTTGCAGCAGCACACCCACGATCATGCTGCACATAGTGCAACCTGAGCAGGGCCACCCCACATTACAGCCTCAACTCGAAACACAAAACCCTATAAAACAAGAGACTACGCAGATGGCAGCTGTTGCTCAAACAGCGCGCAGCACATCACTTCCGCCTCCCAACTCTCAGTCCTCAAACTCCCCAATGGTCACATTCCCAGTCATTCCCTCCTCTCCTCTAGCCCACTCCTGTCCCCACTCGCATTTACACTTGAATATACAGGAACAGGCGGCTAGGCTAAACCACATATCTCTCTCTCCAGGCTTGGCCTCCCCTGCAGTCAGCACCCCCCCCACTACAAGCAATTCTCTTGAAACTGCCTCTCAAAGCCTTATGGAGTACTTGCTGTGAGCCACCCGCCAGCCACCACACCAATATCCAGCAAGAGTTCTGGAGGGAACAATGCAGGTGGGTGGGGAAGGGGGTGTGGGGGGAGAAAGGAGAGGTGGGGAATCGTAGAGGATCAGCAAGGCAGGCACGGTAAGCCAAGGCATGGCATGGCACAGCCTGTAAGGGGCTTATGCTTCCCATGAAGCAAAGCAGCGCTCTCTACTCTCTTTCCTTTCTGCTCTCCAGCACCTGCCGTGAGTGAGAGCACGCACTCAAATGTGCTTCTGCTGGCAATTATTGAGAAGTCTCACAAGATACTCTCCTCCCAACATGCATTTTGTGCGGTGCTACAGGCTTGGGAGGGCGGAGTAAATGTCCCAGCACTTCACTCTTCTCTGTCATGCCATGTCTGCATGGTTCTAACACACAACCATGCACAGATGTCCTACCTGTCACGTGACCAGTGCTCCAATGCTTCAGATCTTAATTTCTAGAGCGCCCATCCCACTGCCTCAGCTGCTCTCTCAATCATATCTCCTATACGACCCTGATATGCACACAATGCCACTCATCTCACCTGTCTCCACCGCTCTCCACTGCCTCATCTCTTGAGCGCCCCTCATGTTCACTGTCTCATCATCTCCTGAATAGCCCTACCACTCACACACAACCGCCCTCACCTCACCTGTCCCAATCGCTCTCCACCGTATCATCTTTTGAGCGCCCCTCCAGCCGCCTCCGCTGCTCTCTGCCTCATCATCTCCTGCACAGCCTTGCGCCGCCTCGACTCCATCTGCTGTGCCGACCGCCGGAAATGCTCCTTGAGATCCCTGCGAGTGGGCGGAAAGAATAGATCATCAAGGGCAACGGGCAACGAGAAAGGGCATATAGACGACTTTAGAGGCGCCTCAAAAGTCTGACCGCCGGAACCTCCTTGAGATCCCTGCGAGTGGAGAATGGAATGGGGGGGCAAATCAAAAGGCAACAGGGAAACGGCATAAAGAAACAGCATAAAGAAAGGCTGGCAGAGAGCAGGGCAGAGGACAAGACGGTTGGATAAGAAGATACCCTTCCAGAAGATCTGATTCCATCTTATACACGAGACTTGCCAGAAAGAAGGCACAGCAAACCTGTGGACCACGCAGGTCCGAGCCTTGCTCCTGAACCCCCCCCCTGCTACTGCGCAAACTCACTTGCAGCGCGGCACTTTGCAGAGGCTGTCTTTGCAGGAGCGTGCGTGCAGGTGCAGCAGCCCCCACATGCGCTTGCAGTGCTGGCAACCCCCCGCTGAGCGCACGGCACAGATGGTGCCGTGGCGGAACAGCATCTTCACCATGCTGCACTTGGGGTACGTGCACACCGTGCCTGGCTGGGGGCGGCAGGACGCTGCGTGAGCCAATAACTCCAGCATCTTCCGCACCTGTTGGGGCACAAGCAGAAAGAAAAGGAGGAGGGAGGGATGGGAAGGGAAGAGAGCATCTTGACCATGCTGCACTTGGGGTACGTGCACACAGTGCCCGGCTGGGGGCGACAGGATGCAGTGGACCCATCTTATGTTTTTTGAGAATTCTCAAAAGACAGGATGCAGTGGACCCATCTTATGTTTTTTGAGAATTCTCAAAAGACAGGATGCAGTGGACCCATCTTATGTTTTTTGAGAATTCTCAAAAGACAGGATGCAGTGGACCCATCTCAAAACCCCCCACACAGCCCCAACCAATGCTCCCTGCCAGCCAGGCCGTCATCCAGTCCCCCCACCTCCGTGCCATTCAAACACACACCTTCCCTGCCCTCCACCCCCACTCACCTCCTTGATACGCTGCTGCCGTCCCTCCTGGCTCTGCGCGTTCCTATCCGGCTGGCTCGCATGCGACACCAGCGGGTGCGGGTGTCCACACGTGTCCTTGCACTGGGCGCACACATCATAATCCGGACACTGCTCGCACCGCCACCCCTGCCGGTTCTCAATGTCGCGCTGGCACGCGTTGCAGGTGACAACGAAGGCGGGCGCGGTGGGGTTGTGCAGGTGGTAGAGCACCATGAGCGACGAGTGCTTGGCGCGGCGCAGCGTGTCGTACTGGTAGTGGTTGCCCTGGCAGAGAGAGAGAAACGCCTGCCGCGTGTCAAAGAATTCAGACTCCACCACTTCATCCGGATCTTTTGTTTCCGTAGGGACTGGCGGGTCGATGGGCCTCTGCGGGCGCAAGGGGGAGGGGGAGGGGTGCGCAGGGGGGGAGGGGGGAGGGGGGAAGGGGGAGCAGAGGGCAAAGGAAGGGGGGTTGTGCAGGTGGTAGAGCACCATGAGGGAGGAGTGCTTGGTGCGGCGGAGAGTGTCGTACTGGTAGTGGTTGCCCTGGCACAGCGACAGGAAGGCCTGGCGTGTGTCAAAGAACTCCGACTCCACCACTTCGTCGGGGTCCTTTGTTTCGGAAGGAACCAGCGGGTCGATGGGACGCTGGGAGGGGGGAAAACGGTGGGAGGGGAGGGGAAGGGGAAAGGGGAGGGGTGCAGGGGGGGGAGGAGGGTGTGCAGGTAGTGGCATGAGCAAGAAGTGCTTGGCACAGAGACAGCAAGGCCTGCCGCATATTAAAGAACTACGACTCCACCACCTCCTCTGGGTCCTTTGTTTCTGCTGGTACTAGCGGGTCGATGGGGCGCTGGGGGTGGGGGGGACGGGAGGGGGTGCAGGTAGTGGCATGAGCAAGGAGAGCTTGGCACAGCGACAGGAAGGCCTGGCGTGTGCCAAAGAATTCTGATTCCACCACTTCGTCGGGATCCTTTGTTTCCAAGGGGACTGGCGGGTCAATGAGGCGCTGTGGGAACACGGGGCAAATGGGGTGAAAGGGGAGGGGGAGGGGTGCAGAGGGGGGAGGGGTGCAGAGGGTTGCAAGTGGTGGGTGAAGTGAAGAAGTGCATGGCGATGGCAGAGTGAGGGATCAATAAAAGAAACAGTTTCAGGAAGGCCTGGTGTGTGTGTGTGTGTGTGTGTGTGTGTGTGTGTGTGTGTGTGTGTGTGTGTGTGTGTGTGTGTGTGAAGCAGTCACGGGTGTGAGTTGGTAGGGAGCACTCACCGGAGCTAGTTGGTGGGCCTCCTTGAGCAGCACAGGGTGGCGGTCCACGGGGCTGCGCCGCTCCTCCTGCTTGAAACACCTGCACGGGCGGGAGACATGAGCGCGCGGAGGAATGGACGGGAGGGATGGGCGGATGGATGGGTGGAAGGAATGAATGGGCGGGAGGAATCGAGGGGAGGGGGAGGGGGGGGGGAGAATGGTTAGGAGGAATGCGCAGGGATGGTGGGAACACTGGGGCGGGAAGACGGAAACAGCAAGGAGGAAAGCAGATAGACGAGAGAGCACGACCACAAGAGGGAGCATGATCAAGGAAGGAAAGGCAATGAGGGGCTGTAGGGAAGGGGAGGGGAGGGGAGGGCTGTAGGGGAGGGAAGGGGAGGGGAGGGCTGTAGGTGAGGGGAGGGGAGGGCAGCGGATGAATGGAAGGGCTCACGAGTCGCAGATGTTGAAGTGCTTGCACTGCGGCTGTAAGCACACCCATCTGTTGCCGGTGATGATGAAGTTCTTGCAGTGCGAGCAGCAGTAGTGCATGTGTACCATTATGAAATCCTCCTTCATCTGCAGTATCGTGCTGCCCAGCTGCGGGTGGGGCGAGGGAGCGAGGCGGAACGAGGGAGCGAGAGGGAGCGAGGCAGGGTTAGCTCCTTGAACAGGTTGCCGCATACAAGAATGCCTTGGATACTTTCACCCTTGCCCTCTCATTTACTTTACCCCTGCCCCCCACCTTCCTTTCTCACCTTGCTCATCAGCTGCTTATCCAGCGAAGCCGGAGTCCACAGGCCGTCATCCCTCCCCCCTGCCCTCTCCTGTACCACCGTTCTCACGTCCCCACAGAACATTCTCACATCTCTCCCCTCCCACCTGCAAACGCCTCGCTTCCTTACCCCTTCGAGGGAGCCCAATCACCTCCCTCTCTCCTCCCCCTCCCTCTCACCTTGCTCATCAGCTGCTTGTCCAGGGACGCAGGCGTCCCCAAATCCTCATCCCTGCCCCCTCCGCCCCCCCGTTTGCTCGAAGCCTTGCTCTTCTTTGCCTTCTTGGGCCCCTTCCCTCCGGCCTTCTCCTCCTCGCGCTCCTCCAGCAGCTTCTGCAGCTCGTCCTCCATGGCGCCCGGCCAGTAGTCCCCGTCAAAGTACGGCAGGCGGGCTGCGGAGGGCAGCGCGCGGCACTCCCCGATCTGCACGAAGAAGGTGTCGTACAGGTTGCTCACTTCCACCACGATGTTCTCTGAGGTGGCTTTCCGCAGCATGGTGAGGTACCTGTTAATAAAGGGGATGGGTGGGAGGGTGGGATAAGAGAGGGGAACAGGCGGTTGAAAGAGAAGAAGGTGCCGTATAGGTTGCTCACCTCCACCACCATGCTCTCTGCAGTCGCCTTGCGCAGCATGGTGAGATACCTGGAGAAGGGGGATGGAAGGGAGGTGTAGGAGAGAGGCGGTTGAACAAGAAGAAGGTGTCGTAGAGGTTGCTCACCTCCACCACCATGCTCTCTGCCGTGGCTTTCCGCAGCATGGTGAGGTACCTTGTGAAGGGGATGGGAAGAGCGGGAGGAACGGTCGAGGTGGAAGCAAAATCAGTTTGGTTTCAGTTCAACCACGCATGTTTGGATCAGTCAATTGGAGCGGTGTCAACCGACTGAGATACTCGGAGGCAGTAGATTGATCAGTTTCAGTGCACCACTCATCGTGCGGCTGACAGCATGGCATGGCCACAGCAAGCAATGCACCATTCGCGCAGCACAGCTGAGAGCATACCATTCGCGCAGCTTGACGGGTTGGGGTGTCTTCTGGATCTCGGGGTGGCAGTAGAGGATGTAGTCCTCGCCCTTGAGCGGCGGGCACGCCCAGATGTAGCAACTCGTGAAGCCACGCATCTTGGAATACTCCAGGTACCCGATCTGGTGGGGCGAAGGAGGGGGGAGGGGGGAGGGGGGAGGGGGGGTGGTGGGGTGTTGACACGAAAGTTAGAAAGATATTTTGGGATGTGGTCCTCTGCTCTCGATGTTGTGACAGCTACTGCCAGATGCAGCAAGTCGTGAAACCACGCATCTTGGAATGCTCTAGTTACCTGATCTGGTGCGCATGTAAAGGGTTGACACAGGGCAGGAGAAACGGGGGGAAGGACGGGCAAAGGGAGACGATATGGGGCCTCTGAGCCTTCTATATTACCCTAATTGAACGCAGGCAGTGCATTGGCAAGGTCACTGACCAGTATCTCATGGCAGACGAATGTGCTCAGGGCCTCCCCGTTGACAGTGCGCACGTCCGGGCGGAAGTACTTGATGGAGTGGAGGCAGGAGAGGTAGATGGAGAATGGCAAGAGGGTGGTGCACTGAGAAGATTGCTCACCAGAATCTCGTGGTAGACAAACGTCCGCAGGGCCTCCCCATATACGGTGCGGACGTCCGGGCGGAAGTACTTGATGGAGTCGAGGTAGGAGAGGTAGATGCGGCGGTGGTTGGCTTGAACCAGGAAATTCACCAGCACCTAGCAGCAAGCAAGCACACCTGCGCCTAGAGGCAAGGTCACTCACCAGAATCTCGTGGTACACGAACGTTCTCAGGGCCTCCCCGTTGACCGTACGGACGTCAGGGCGGAAGTACTTGATGGAGTCGAGGTAGGAGAGGTAGATGCGGCGGTGGTTGGGCGGCAGGCAGTCGGCACCAAACTCCTGCACGTACATGGCGTAGAGACACACCTCTACGCCCTCTATGCGCTGAAACAGCAGCACCACCTGGTGAGCGTTGTGGAGGAAGTGGGAGGGGGGACGAGGAGGAGAATATGGAGCGGGTGTAAAGAGAGGGCTCACTGACTGGCATAGAGGCACACCTCCATCCCCCCCCACTATGTGCTGGAACAACAGCACCACCTGGAAAGGGGGCATTTCAGTTCACTTGAATTAAAAGAGACATACCTTTAATCACTCTCATGCCCCTTCCCGCCCTTTCTCCCCTGCCCCCCGCACCTTGGACTTGTAAGGGAACTCTTTGGGGTACTCCCCATCTGGGAACAAGTTGAGAAAGCGTGGCTTCGTCTCCATCCTCTTGTCCACCGATGACACCACTCGGATCACCAGCTCCTCGGGCCCTTCCACCTGCATAACCACACACAGATACGCAGAGAATGAAGGCACAAGAGAAAACCTCAGAGTCAATGCAAGAGTCTCCATCCTCTTGTCCACGGTCGACACCACTCGTATCACCAGCTCCTCCGGCCCTTCCACCTGCTCTCACACACACACAGCGAATGAGAGCACGTTCTGAGTAAAATCAAAAGTCTCCACCCTCCCTTCCCTTCTCTACGACGACACCACTTGAATCACCAGCTCCTCGGGCCCTTCCACCTGCATGCACACAGGGAACAACGACAAGCAACGCTTTTAACCAGGTGCTTTGCTGAGCTGCCTCAAGGAAGGGTCTCCAGCCAAAGTCCATGGTTTCAAAGCCTCTTCGCCAGCCGCCCCTCTCGGAGCTTCAAGCTGGGGGGTGAGGCAGGTTCCTGACGGGCCCAGCCCAGTGGAGTGAGCGAGTGACGGCTACCAAGGGATGTGGTGGCACCTGACTGACTGGCACCACAGGACCGATTAGGCTCACCTCATCTGGTCTCTTCCTCTGCTGCCTGGCCCTCTCCTCCCTCTCCTGCGCCAGCCTCTTCGCCAGCCGCCCCTAATGATCCGAGAGGCGCGAGCGAGGCAGGTCCCTGGCGCCGAGCACAGAGTGACGGCTACCAATGGAGGGGACAGCTGGCACGATAAGGACCTACGGACCATGCTCACCTCATCCACATTCTTCCTCTGCAGCTTGCCTCACCTCATCTGGTCTCTTCCGCTGCTGCCTGGCCCTCTCCTCCCTCTCCTGCGCCAGCCTCTTCGCCAGCCGCCCCTCTAAATGATCTGAGAGGCGCGAGCGGGGCAGGTCTCGGGCGCCGAGCACGGTGGAGGGCGGGAGAGGCGCCCGGAGGCCTCGCTCCATCTGCTCGCAGCAGCACAGCGGACACGTGTACTCCGCCTCGCCCTCGTTGCGCCGCCCGTTGAAGAGCGCACACACCTGGTGCACCCACCGGTCGCACGTGTCGCATTGTACCCACTGGTGGGGGTGGAGCGAGGGGGGAGGGGGCAGGGAAAGAAGAGGAAGGGGTAGTGTGAGAGACAATGGTCACCGTTGAACAGCGCACACACCTGGTGCACCCACCGGTCGCACGTGTCACACTGCACCCACTGCTCAGTTGGAGCGAGGGGGGAGGGGCAGGGGAAGGAAGAGGAAGGGGTAGTGTGAGAGACGATGGTCACCGTTGAAGAGCGCACACACCTGGTGCACCCACCGGTCACACGTGTCGCACTGCACCCACTGCTCAGTTGGAGCGCGGGAACAACAGAAAGGGAAGAGTGAGAGACGAAGGTTACCAACTTACCAGCAGATTGCGCATACAAGGGAAGGAGGGGGGAACAGGGAGAGTAGGTTGGGACGGGGAGCCAGCAAGATCAAACGGAGAAAACCAAATGGGAGGACCAGGGAGAAAGAAATGCACAAGAAATGCACATACCGCTTCCTCTGTCTCCTCATCATTAATTCTCTTGGTGAGACTAGCCTTGGGAATCGGCCGGAGCCCCTCCAGCGTGATCGCATCCCCTCGGAAGTCCCCATAGCACCGGTTACACACGCACTGCCGCTGGTCGCCCGCGCCCGGCGTGGCATAATACGCCTTGTTCCTCTGAATCCTGCGCCCACACGCCGTGCAGTAGATGGGCGGCGGGTCAAAGAAGAGCTTCTCCACGGAGCACAGCCGGCAGTCGCTGTCCCGCGGCTGCTGCTGCTGCAGCTGCTGCGCCGCCTGCAGCTTCTCCTGCTTCTGCTTGCTCTGCCCCACCCACTGCCTCAGGCTCCGCACGTGCAGCCGGATCATCTCCGGGGTGAAGAGCTCGGTTAGAGACGTGCCCACGCCTTTGCTCTTCATGTTCTTGTTGTTCGCTGCTGCCGCCGCAGCTGCTGCCGCTGCTGATGCTGCTGCTGCAGCAGCTGCTGCTGAGGTGGTGACTGCTCCTGCCCCACCTGCAGGGACAAGCGCCTTGCTATCTTCTGTCCGAGGCTCTGCCTTCACACTCGCTGCGCCGCCACCAGCACCACCCGCGCCAGACGCACCTGCCCCAGTCCTACCCTCCGCCTTCACCTGCCCTGCCCCTGCCCCTGCTGACCCTACCCCTCCCTCTGCCTTCACTGCAGCACCACCAGCAGCAGCAGCAGCGGCAGCAGCAGCCTTAGCCTGTGCGCCCGCTCTCCCTGCAAGAGCGCCATTGGCACTTCCCTGCATCTTGCTGCCAGCAGCCTTGCCAGCCTTGGCACCAACAGGCCTCTCAGGCTTCTCTTTCTCGCCACCAGCAGCACCAGCAGCACCGCCAGGACCACCAGCACCACCCACTCCTCCTCCTGCTGCTGCAGCAGCGCCAGCCTCTGCCTTCACGCCAGAGCTCCGCTTTGGCCCACCACCTGCAGCCTTTAGACCCCCCACCCCGCCTTCCAGCTTGGCTCGTTTTAGCGGCTGCGCCCCTGCCCCCTTCTCCTTCTCCCTCTCCTTCTCCCGCCCTGCCTCTGCCACCCCGCCCTCCCCGCGCCTAGCTCCCTCATTCGGCCTCTTCTGCCCTGTAATGGCCGACCCAGCAACACCCGTGGCACCAGCTGAGCCTGAAGCCGCCGCTGCTCCTGCTGCTCTAGCAGCACTGGCAGCAGCAGTAGCAGCAGCACTGGCTGCGGCAGTAGCACCAGCTTGTGTTGCCCTCTCTACAGCCCCTGCAGCCCCAGCAGCAGGACCCAGCGGCAGAGAAACACCAGGAGCCGAAGCTCCATTGGCAGATGCCCCTTTGCCTGTGGCTGTGTCTTCAGGTGCAGGTGCAGGCTTGGCGGTACCAGTGGTGACAACCGGCACAGCAGTGGAGTGATCTCCCTGCCCACCTGCAGCTGCTGCAGCATTGGAAGCGTCGCCGTTCACCGCAACTGCTCCATCCGCCACAGGCACGGTCGTGATTTGACCATCAATGGCACCTGCCTCTGCCTCGACCTCTTTCCCGTCCTGTCGCTCATTCCCAGTACCCGCAGCGGCATCAGCTGCAGCAGTCACTACAGGAGCAGCTGCTGCAGCCGCAGCCGCAGCAGCAGCGGCAGCCGCCGCAGCCGCAGCAGCCGCCGCATTCGCTCTCGCCGCCAGCATCTGCTGCTGAAACGCGCGCCTCACAGGCCCACACACGGGGCACTTGGGATCCCGGCAGATCTGGTGATGGTGGAGAAGCTTCCTGGAAGGGACGCAGCGGGGGTAAGCGCACTCAGGGTCCTTGCAGCGGGAGCAGTGGGCCCAGAGCTCTCGAAACACGCGGCAGTGCGCGCCCACGTTGCAGGAGCCGTTGGCAGCGATGCAGCGAGACGCATGGCGCAGCGTGTGCAACCACTTCTGCTGCCGCTGGTACTGCATGGCCCGCTGGGGGTCGATCGCGCCGCCTCCTGCTGCTATATCCCCTGCTGCTCCCGTCCCTGCTCCCGCTTCCACCAATGCCACGGCCCCTGCTCCTGCTGTCGCTCCTCCTCCTGCCCCTGCTCCTGCCGCTGCTCCCGCCGCTGCTCCTGCAGCTGCAGTGGCTTTGGCAGAAGGTTCGGTACTAGCAGGCACGCCATTCAGCACTGCACCTGTTGCTCCCGAACCGGGTGTTGAACCGGAGGGCTGCTGCTGCTGCTGCTGCGTTTGCTGTGAGCCCACAGGCCCTTTTCCACCCTGCATCCGCTGTGGAAATCCCGCGTTCCCCTTAACATGCGGGTGCTGCTGCGGCTGCTGACGTGAGTGCTGCTGATGCGCCATCACACCGCCTGCACCACCCACGCCAGCAGCACCGGCACCAGTCCCGGCCACAGCAGCACCGTCCACCACAGCCCCACCTGCCCCACCCGCCCCCCCTGCTGCCCCAGCCCCACGAAAGGCGCCGTCGCGAGCAGCAGAGGCAGTGAGGCCCCCAGCGTCCATCACGGGAGGGCCGCCAGGCGTGGGAATCATGAGAGACGCGCCACCCACCCGACCTGCCTGCTCCGTTGCCCCTCCCGCCTGTGCTGGGCCGGATGGGATGGAAGGGCCTGGTGGCAGGTACCCTGGCATTGCTGCAGACAGGAAGAAAAAGAGAGGCGCAGGGAGAAGGGGAGGATGGGATGCGCAGGGAGGGGACAGGAAATGCAGGGGCGAGCAGGGAATTCGCAAAAGAGGGGGTGGAGACGAAGGGAGGGTGTTGAAGACGCAGAGGGCATGGGATTAGGCAAGGAGGTGAACAAAATTCTCAGGGAATTTGGCAAATCGGCAGGGAGGGTGTGGGACATGTAAAAACGGTTAAGATACGCAGGCGATGCGGGGGTGGAGGAGGGAAGGGGGGGCGGGGGAGGGGGATTGGGGAGGGGGGAGGGGTTGCAAGAAACCGCAGGGAGGAAACCATGAGAATGACTCACTGACACAGGCGTCTGAGAAATTCACCATGAGAATCGGTGGTTGGTAGCTGCTGCTGGTACATGTGGTGTGGTTGTTGCTGCTGCTGAGACAATCCCTGATACGCTTGCTGCTTCCGCTGCGGTCCCTGCTGCCTCTGCCGCTGCTGCTGCTGTAGTTGCGGTTGCGGCTGTTGCTGTTGCTGCTGCTGCAGTTGCGGTTGCAATTGCTGTTGCTGTTGCTGCTGCTGCTGCTGCTGCTGCTGCCCCCCGTGCTGCCCCCCATGCTGCTGCCATTGCTGCTGCCTCTGGCCCTGTTGCCCTTCCTGCAGCATCGCCTGCTGCTGCAGCTTCTGCTGCTCAACTTGCATCTGCTGCTCCACCTGCCGCTGCTCCGCATACCCCTGATTGCTCCCACCCAGGTCAGCCAGACCACCACGTTGACCCATGACTCTGCCCGTCCCTACCCCCACACCAACCCCCACACCTGCCTGCACTCCTGACCCTGACATGCCCGAAGCAACTTCACCTCCCTCTCTCCCTCCTCTCGCCGCAGCTTGACCAGGGCCCGTAGAAGTCCCCAACGCAGCACCCGCGCTGGCAGCCGCACCATCAGCAGCAGCCACGCTTGCACCCGGACCTGCCACCAATCCTGATGCGGGCATGCCATCCGAACCAGCGGTCCAGGTTTGGGATCTTGAAGCATCGGAATTTGGTAGCCCCGGTGTGGGAACCATAGCAGGGCCTGTTGCATCGGCTAAGGTCGAAGCAGACGCAGAGGCGGGGTTAGAAGTCAGACGGTTGTTGGGGGCGGAGGGAGACTGAAGTGTTGGTTGTTGTTGTTGTTGTTGTTGGTTGGGTAACCGGCGCTGGAAGTGTCCTCCTTGTTGCACTGGCTGCTGCTGCTGCTGCAACTGTTGCAACTGTTGTTGCTGCTGCTGCTGCTGCTGCTGCAGTTGTTGCTGCACTGGCCGATTCTGCGTGAATTGTTGCTGTTGTTGTTGTTGTTGTTGCTGCTGTTGCTGCTGTTGCTGCGATTGCTGCGGTTGATGCTGCTGATGTTGCTGCTGCTGTGGCAGCGGCTGCAGCGCGGAAAGCGGCTGTGATTGCGGTTGAGACATGAATCCGGGTTGCCCAACTCCTGATATCATATGAGTCAAGTAGAGAGCAGGCGAGAGAGTAAGATCGAATGAGAGAGTGAGAGAAGAGAAAGGTACAGAAGGAAAGAAGGGTGGGGGAAAACAGCAGCAAATGCGAATATATAGCGAAAGATACGATAGATTATGATACAAATCCGCGTACCACTTGGCATCTGCTGCTGAAGTGGTTGACCTCCTTGCTGCTGCACTTGTTGCTGCTGTTGCTGTTGCTGTTGCTGTTGCTGCAGCTGACGTTGTTGCGGTTGTTGCTGCTGTTGCTGGTGCTGCTGTTGTAATTGTTGTTGTTGCTGCAGCTGCGGCTGTTGCTGCTGCTGCTGCTGCTGCTGTTGTTGCTGCTGCTGTTGTTGCTGCTGCTGTTGTTGTTGCTGCTGCTGCTGCTGTTGCTGCTGCTGCTGCTGCGTTCTGGTAGACAGGAGCCTAGCAGCGAGCTGCAGTCGTCGCTCCAGAGTGCTGAAATCGCCATACTCCTCCTGCAACACCACAACAACAACAACCAGCTCCGCCAGGCCACAGCACAAAGCACAGAGCACAGAACAGCACAGGCACAGCGGCGAGAAACAAACAGCAGTAACAGGTAAGCGAAATCAACCGGAGGAAGAAAAAAAGGCGTGACGAAACTGCCTTCACTCTACAGACAAATGGACGGACGGACAGCAGCGACGGTAGCGATTAGAGCAGCTAGCGAGTGAGGAGCGTCGAGGCCTCACCCTCGAATTCGCCGTTCGGTAAAGCACTTCCTCCAGCTTGCGGACGAAATCCGTCAGCTTCTCCCGGTTGTACTGCGACGTCGCTTGCGGATTCCTCGTCTGGAACAGTTGCATCCTGCAGACGGTAAATGGGACAGGAAACGAAGCGAACAGGGAGGTAAAAATCGGAATCGAGCACTGCATACGATTGTTTACGACGACACGAAAACGTCACGTGTCGGTTCGAGACGGAGAGGAAGCGCGAAGCTTACGTCCTCGCAAAGACGCTGTGTCGCAACTGAGTGTCCTGGTCTGGTTTCCGCCATTGCGTTGCCGGGTTTCCCGCCGACCGCTGCATGGGAGCAGCGGTCTGCGCCTGCATTTTCCCGGCGCCTAAGCAGCCGGATACCGTACCCTAACAAACCTTAGCGCTTTTCAAGCCCTATGAAACTAAAATAGGATCTTAAAACGCACCACAGACAAAGTATGAGCTTTCCGTAAACAAGCGTTTTACATGGCCTCCTTCGGCAACGAAACGTTTTTTTTCCTAGTTAGTATCAAAGTAGTAGTTTTGCGTAGTCTACAACGGCCTAGAAGTAACGATCCTAAGGCCAGGAGCCTTCAATATTGCTTTCCATTTTTCCATTTTTCACGGCAGAGCAGCCATGGCTGCTGATAGCTTGAAGCAAGCAACAAGGTGTTTCAGGCATCGGAAGGCGAAGTGAGCTGCTCTGCAGAACGCTGGGGTGGGGAGCGGTGAGAGGCGTGGAGCAGAAGGTACTCCCGAGAAAACAGATCCACCGAACTGGTTGTCGCCTTCGTACGAAGTGGTTACAGCGGCTAACGATACGTCGGTCACGAAAACCCTTGTGCTGGTTTGTAGAATGTTACCAGTAAATTTTCTGTTCCAAAAAGCTAAGAGCGTGTCCGAAGTGAAGCATCGAATAGATGTCGATGGATATCGGTAAATGTCAACCCTCGGATCGAGAGTTCCAACCGTCAGGATTTACCGACATCGGATGTCAACGGATATCGACTTCACTTCGGACCCGCCCTAACAGGTCATATAGTCTCAGGTCCATATGAAATATGGGATGACTTGTGTAGTGTTACGAGTACAGTCGAGTGAGCGAGCGAGGATTGCACTATCGAAGCAAGAGTACAATGAGCGAAGGCATGAGCAAGGAATATATAGCGAAATTACAGAGGTAACGGTAATGAACTGTGGTTGTCGCGCGACGGGCCAAGGACTGAGGTTTGGGGAAAATGTCGAAGCGGAGGCCCGGAGCGCGGGTTACCCACCGAGCCGTGAGGTCGGGGTGCGACGTGCGAAGGTGGCGGGAGGATTGTCGATGCGAGGGTTGCGAGTGGTAACGGTGCTGACTGTGGTGCTACAGTGGTGTACGCGCTGAGCGGGGACGCGAAGTAAGGAAAAGGAATTTTCTTTACACTACCCCCCCTCCTAAGGAGGTCCTCCTTATGAAAGCGCGTGTACATCCCTGAATTTTCGGCTGCGCAGATACTCGGTGAGGACGAGGTGGGTTTCGATTCTATGCAGGGGAACCCAGTTGTCTTTGGTGGGTGTACGGTCTCTCCAGCATATCAGGAAGTCGATCCTTCGGGCTCCTCAAGGGTCACGAACTCTGTGGCTCAGAATTTTCTCGGGGGTGATGATTGGTTCAGTCGGCGGTCGTGTCATGCTGGCTGGGCGATTACGTGGCAGTTGGCTTGTGGACGGGACGTAAGGGCGAAGCAGGCTGACGTGGAATGAGGGGCTGACGTACCAGTCAGCGGGGAGGAGGAGGTGGGCGGTGACGGCCGTAATCATGTGGCTTATGCGAAATGGCCCGCAGTATCGGGGGCGGAGTTTTGGGGTGATGGGCAGTCGGAGGTTCTGAGTGTCAAGTAAAACTAGGTCATCGGGCTGGTAAGTGACAGGTCTGCGATGGCGGTCGGCGTTACGTTTAGCGATGATGTTGGATTTTTTTATTGCGTCTGCTGCCTGGGTCCGTGCTGCTTGTAATATTTCGACGAACTGTTGTGCTCGTGGCACTGGGTTGTCGGGATTCGGGGTCATGGGTACTGTCGGGTCTTGTCCGTAGTTTAGGTAAAATGGTGACTGTTAGGTCGTGGCAGACGGTGAGTTGTTGTATGCGAATTCAATGAGTGGCAGCTAATGTTCCCAGGTGGTTGGGTCGTCGCACGTGGCTCGGATGAGTTGCTCCATAGTCTGGTTTGTTCATTCTATCTGTCCGTCGGTTTCGGGGTGGTATGAAGAGCTGAACTGTAGTCGCGTGCCGAACTGCTGCCATAGGTTCCGCCACAAGTTGCTGGTGAATTTCGTGTCGCGGTCGCTGATGATCGCTGATGGTATCCCGTGCAGTCAAACGACGGTGGAGATGAAGAGTCGAGCTATTTCTTCGGCTATGATCGATTTTTTGTAGGCTGCGAAATGTGACATTTTCGTCAGTCGATCGACGACGACCATGATCGCGTCGTTCCCACTCGCCCCGGCCGGTAACCCCGTGACGAAGTCTATCGTCACCTGTTGCCAAGCACGCTCTGGGGGTGGTATCGGCTGCAACTGTCCTGCCGGCCACTGCCGTGATGATTTCATGAGCTGGCAAGTGGGACACGATGCCACGTGTTGTTGTACGTCGATCAACATTTTGGGCCAGTAATAATACCGCTGCAGCTGCTGCCGTGTTTTCTCTACCCCGAAATGCCCCGAGGTAACTCCGTCGTGTGCCTCCTGTAACAGTAATTCTCGTAGCAGTGTATACCCAGGCACCCAGATGCAGTCGGTCCCGGCTTTTACGTAATAGACTCCCTTTGCTGTTGCGAACTGCTGCGAATTTCCTCCTGTAAAGAATGGATCCGTTTGGTACCCGTGGGTAAATAGGCCTATCACTAGTGGGCTTGTCTGGGCGAGTAGTATTGCATGGATCTGGGCAGTGGGGCGGGTCAGTGCGTCGGCGATGTTCGAGGCTCCTTTTTTGTAAGTGACCGTGTAGTGAAAGTTGGACTCGAGAAAATCGAGCCAGCGAATCTATCGTGGGTTGAGGTGTGGCTGTGCGCGGAGATACTGTAGTGATTTATGGTCTGTCCGTACTGTCCCGTCTGCGCCGGTCAAGTAACAGCGCCACACTTTGAACGCGTGCACGATCGCAAGCATTTTGCAGTCGTGTATTGGGTAATTTTTCTCGGGCGGATGCAGTTTTCGTGACTCGTATGTGATGGGCTGTAGGCCGTTGCCGAAGTCCTGTAGCAGTACGGCTCCGATGGCAATGTCGATTGCGTCGGTAACTACTTCGAATGGGCGGTGTGGGTCGGCGATGCGCAGGACGAACGGTGAACAGATAACATTTTTCAGGGCAGAGAAGGCAGCATGCTCTTTCTCCCCCCACGTAAAAGCGACCCCCTTCCGTAACAAGTCCGTCAGCGGCGCAGTTAACCGTGCCATGTCGGGGACGAACCGACGCACGTAGTTTACGAACCCAAAAAAGATCTGTGGTTCAAGGTTGGATGGGAGGTGAGACAGTCAAACTTATATCCTATGCTATAGTCTGTGTAGGCTGTAGTGGGGTAGACAATATGGGGTACAACACTTCTAGGTTTTCCTACTTGTACCCACCTGCTTGCTAGTTCATTCATTCCTCAATTCTCACATGGTATAGAGCAGGTTCCCTAGTGGGAACTTCCTAGGGCCTACCACTGAACATCGATTTTTTTTCCTGCCCTGAGATCGAGTCGCCCCTGACCGAGGCGCGCCCTGTGTGCCGCCCTCCTCTTAGCGACCCGTCGCGCCGCCCTTAGCGCCCCCCCCCCCCCCCTCTCTCACGGCCCCTCACGACCCCGTCGCCGCCCCCCTAGCGGCCCGTCGCGCCGCCC